TAAATATCTTGAAACTAAAACCTCATAGGAAGAGTAACAAAGATTATTATGTATATATAATTTTTAGTTTCTACAAAACCTTTCTCGGTTTGTTTTTTTTTTTTAACCTTTTAGAAAATTTTGATTGCTTATCTAGACTAGATATCCCCGGAGAGCTTGCAAAATAACTGAATCCATTTTTGATCAGTTAAAATTTAATAAGTTGAAGAGAGAATTCCAGGGTGGGGAACGAGAAAGGGAGCGAACTCTGAACAATTTGGAAATATCATAGGAAAACGCTAATTATGCTTTCTTTACAAGGAGAGGGAAGAGTGTTTAGATACAAAATAGTGACATAGAACTGGCTTTGACATAACCTGGACCCTTGGCAGTATCTTAAATCATAGTTAAAAAGCTAAAAAATCCTCAAAGTACGGAAAAGGCGGTATCTCTTAAGAAAAAATTATCTTTTTGAGACTAGATAGTTTCCTGATGAGGGTCTTTTTGTTCTATAGTGCTCATCAGATGCCAAAAGTTCCTGAAAGTGGCCACTGCTACTCCAAATTGTCTCTGTAGAAATTGTTCCAGTTAAAAAAATAAGCATATAATTTAAACGTCTAGTGAGAAACCAGGAGGGAAGTGTTCCCCCTGTAGAAGGAAGAGCTGTGGAATAGCCCACGAGCACTCTAAGGATGGTGCCTGTTCACCTGGTGTGTCTAGTATTTGGTCAAAGGTCCATCATCACCAATCTAGAATCAAACAATTTTGGGTAAATGAAATTAAACAGGGCAATTCTGAAGGAAACAGAGGCAAGACTGAAAAGGAAGTCCATTAAGATTTTGAAACTGGCCTATGGCTACATTTGTCCAAAGGAAGCTACTTTAAGGAGAACTTCTGAACTCCTCAGTCCCCAGAATCAGGTCATAGACAACTCATTGCACTATAATATCAATACTCTCCCTATAGGCTTTTATTCTTATAGACAAATAACATTCAAGACACTGGAAGAGCAGACAGACAATAAGAGGAGGGAATTAGAAGACTCTAAAACAACTTTACCAGGGAATCATACAAACCCAATTGAATAACAAATACATCCCAAGAAACCAGCAAAATAAAACCAATGAGGGAGGGTTTTGATGAGCAGTAGAGTTCAATTCAGCAGGAATTAACTTCTCAGCCATGCATAGGGGCTAATCAGAGAAACACATGGATGGCGGAAATGTCCACAGTCACTGACTTGAGGGTTCTGATCCAAAGCAGAGAGTATATCAGCTGAAGCTCAGTGGAACTCCATTTCTGTCAAAGTCCTCTAAACCAAAGGCCACTAGGAACACACCACTGGTTAAATAAGGAGGAAGAATGCACACCATGGAGACGCACATTTCTAGAAGAGGGTGTTAGAATGGGCTTAGAGAGGACTTATATCAAAAGCATTTAGGCTTGTGTTAGGTGATTTGGTGTAGAATTTAAGGAAGCAGGGTTTCATCCTGTATTAGATGCTATCCGGAAGTAGGATGATTCTAGGATTTGGTCGTTTCATAAATTGTATCTATGGAGAAGGCAGACCGGAGTTAAGTCAAAGCTGTAACTGTTAAGTAAGCACTAGTTACTCCTATCAGCCAGGATCAGAGAAAGTTTGGTATCCTGTGGCCTAGATAGTGTTTATGTTTTGTCAGTGTTGCAACGCGATTACAGAATGGTCTTTTTATCTTAATGTATCATGGTAACAGAGTGGCCTTGTTGGGCACTGCTGTTCTGTGATATTTGAGTGTGGATCATCTTGCAGCCACACCAAGACAAAGGACCATACCATTCAAGCCTCTGGATGCTAGTGGCAGCTTTTCTCTTTCTCATGTTAATCCAAGTCACTTTTCTATAGGTCCAGAGACATTTGTCCAAACAGAAACGTAGTTAATAGGATAAATAATAGAGAAAAAAATTCTGTTAAAGAATAGATGTGTTAGTGGTGATAAGTCGGAGGTATGTTGTTTTCAAGAATGTCTCATATTGGCTCTTGGGAGAGATAAATATACATTAAGATGTTCTCAAGTCTGTCTTGTTCATAAATAGTTCAAACAGGCTTACTTAAGAGCCTATTTTGAGCTGGATTTCTAGTTAAAAGTAACAGTGTTTAAATAAGAACAATATACCCATTTTGCTTAGTCGAAAAAAAGCTCTATAATCTGCTGGAGAGATAATAGAACTGTTGCACAGACAAAACTAAAGCTTGTAAAACTCTCTTGCCCACGAGTCTAATAATAAGTCATTCCTCTTAGTCTTTTCATTTGCAGTTGATTTTCTAGAGGTTGGAAACAAGCGTGTGACTCAAGACCTTACAGTCAGTAGGATGTTTGTTGCCTCAGTGTCAGGCTGATTTGTAAGTAGCAATGAACTTGAAGGGAAGGGAAGAAACTTGGGCTCATAAAATGGGTTTGGGTAAGAAGTTAGATCAGCAATATGAGTGAGAGAACATAATATGGGAGGGTCTTATCATGTTGACCCTGAAAATCGATGTCAACTGTCATGGGCATGCTGGAGAAGCAGAAAGCTGAAGGAGACAGAATTCATCACCGGCACAGGATGGGGTTCCTGAGGCATTCCAGGTGGGTTTATGATCCCATTGGGGAACCTGTCTGGAAGAACGATTTTATCTCACTTGAGATTTCAGCAGAAGAAAACAAAGATCCAAATAATGAACTGTTCCCTGGATTAAGATTAACAAGCAGAGTAGATATTTCAGAAAACAAAGATCACTCCCAGATACAGATTTTATGTTGTCTGGTAGCGGTGATATTTTGGTTCTCACTTCATGTTTTGTTTTTAATGCCATCTTTTATTCTGAATTACATAGCCCACCTGTCTTACCTCCTGGACAGATCCTTAAATTCTGAAAACTGTGGTTCGGAGGGGAAAGGGGTCCATTAGCTTGTGTTAGTAATTAGAACTTTGGTGGTGGGTGTCGTGTGGTATTATAGATTGGCACATGGATGAACTTGTACTCCTAAGACATATACAGCCTTGTAAACTAATGTTGCCTTAGTTTTGTTTTTTTTTAAGGCATCTACTTCTTGTGCACCGTATTATTCTATAAAAGAAAAGCTTTGTGTTCACATTATTACCCTGTAAATACAAAATTTTTAAATTGTTAAGCTATGTTGGTAACTCATCTTACTCCCTGAGTTACTTCAAAATATGTGTAAATTCAGTTATTAATATTTTAGAGAAACTCAGGATATCAAAGAAATGAAATTGCAGGTAGTTATAGTTAACAATTTTTATATCAGTGTAAATATAATTTTTAAAAATTTGTGGATTCCTTGAGAGGGAATTTCATCATCAAAATATTTATCATCTGGATGTAGAGTGTATAAAATGTAAGTCCCAAACCTACTGGCAGATAATTACTGCACTGCTATTTCACCAGTTTCTTCCAGTTTGTGTAAAGCCTCTGCAGAGATACAGTGCTGTCAATTGATGCTACTTTTGAATAAAGAAATTGTACACACAGTGGCTTCATCATGGATTATGAGCTCCACATCATATGTCATTTACCATCAAGTCACAAAATGTTATTGGGAGCCTTTGCAATTTTCACAGAGAATGCCTGGGCAAGAATAAAAGAATTTGAGGGTAGAGTCAAAGAACAAATTCAGCTTCAAATCTGGATTAACACAAATTTCTGGAATGAAACCAACACCTCAACTTTTGACTCTGGAAGGAACATACTCTCATGAGGACTTGAGGCAGACACACCCAGCTTGATTGTGCTATTCTTTCTCTTGGGACCTTTTGCTCCTATTTCACACAACAACCTTAGGTGAACGGGTGTGGGGTAGGTGGAAGAAATGCACGGAGGCATGATGGGTGACTATCCACTGTCGATTTGGACATAGACTGCATTTCGGTAAAATGAGTCCATTCCTGTCAGGCAACCTGTATCTGGGAATACTGAAAAAGATGTAATCTCCCTCAGCCAAAAGGGGATTAAGTTCCTTTTGCTGCCCTCTCCCTCCCAATCAGCTCCTTTTCTCTAGGGTAGGACTGACTGTACCTTACGACAGGAAAGGCGCTAAGAGGGTAAAGCAAGCGAATCTGAGAAATGCCCTGCAGGTTCAGCCCGTTCCTCCCTCACACCCTCTAGCAGAACAAGGCCAGGACAGCAGCAGGCTGTCCTGGTGGCAGGAGGAGGAAGGTGGGAGGATGCCTAGTCAGCACCCCAGTGAGCAAGATGAAGAGAGCTTCAATATTTTTTAAAGATTATTAAAATAATGACTTCTTCAAATGAATTTCTCCATTATTCATATTTAAGGCCATGAATTCATGCCTAAGAAAATATTCGAATTTGTGCTGACATAATGCCAACAACAGAAATCTTCGTGACCTCTTTATTACTGAAACATCAAATCAATCCTTACTTTCTGTTGCTCTTTGATTGCAATTACAGAGATTGAGTCATCAAGAATCTTTTGGTAACAAATGACAAATCAACTCAAATTACATTACGGCATTAAAGGCTGTTTTACTGCCTTAGGAAAGCAGAAAGGAAGGATGGGATTTGGCAAGAGCTGATGGCTGAGAATATTCGGGTGCTTTTGTGGATTTGTATTTTGAGTTTTGCTTCATTGGTAGGCACACAGGAGAGCAGCACTGCCAGGGTAACCTGACATTCTGGGTAATAATGCAGCTGGCAGAACATGTCAGTGACTTTCCTTTTCAGCACTCAACATTCACCACCACAGGCACTCCTCTCCCCACGAAAAGTACCATCAGATGGAGTCATAAGAAATCATGAATATGTAAAGTAGCCACACATGAAAACCATTGCACAGGAGATCTGGGGCGCAGTGGTAACGAGCACAGCTGCCATCAGGTGCTCCCTGAAATCATCTCTTCTCGCCTTGGAATTTCAGCTGTGTTTGGCCAATTTGTTCCATCCCAATTTAATATAATACTATGTTTCCAACAAGGTGTAGATATTTTAAACCCCGGATCACAATCCCTCCTACGCACATACATACCTGTTAAAATGCCAATTCATTCTTAAATGATTGCTTCAATTAACGGGGCACAGGTGGAAGTTGAAGAGAATGCAGAGCATCACAACCATTTGACAATTTCTAGGAAGCAAGAGAATGAAGATGTTTTGATCATAACAGATTTCAGAGGACGTGGAAAAAAAGTAGATGCTCATAAAAGTGCTTTGAACCCGTGAGGGAACACACAGCCCCATCTCAGGGAAGGCTGTGTTCCCAGCAGCAGAAAGGGCCTGTGCGCACCGCATCTTCTGAAAGAAGATTCTGTGACGGGACACATGTGGAGGGAGGATGCCAGTGTGTGAGACAGAAAGGAAGGGCAAGAAAGAGGGAAAAAGTATGGGTGGTAACCCAGTGCTGGTTTCCAGACAGAAAAAATGCTGTGTAGACACTGGCATTGTCTAAAGCCACCAACCATGGCCAAGAATCTTTTGTACCCTGGTAGAGAAGAATGTTTCACACTCAAAGTGCTTTTCTTTTTTGCCTGTAAAATGTTTATTAGTCATTCTAGAATCTTTCAAGATTATGAAAAAGAGCAAGAACTACCCAAACTGAACAAAGGATAGCTAACCCTTTGGCTATTTACCTCAGATCCTTGTTGGGGTGCAACAGAGACCCAGAGACTATTGTTGGTCCCCAATAACTCTTCTAGCCTTTTTCTGTTACAGTAGAACCTCTGACTTTGCAGTGTACAGAGCTTCCCAGAAGTTAAATTTGTCCTTCTCATCTCAGTGAGACTATTATAGCCAGTGGGATGATGTGCACATTGTCTGTGAGAAAGAGCAAAAGCAGCCAGTGTAGCATTCTATGACAATAGCCTGAAAGGGCTGAGTTGGACATGTTGATGTTGAGAGGTCTGGACATCCATGTGGAGAGGCCCAACAAACCCCTGGATGTGTGGATTGGGAGTTCAATGCAGGAGTCAGGGCAGGAGACATAAATCTTGGAGTTATCAGAATATACAGTGGCATGGGAAGTGTGACCCCGGATGAGGTGAACACAGAGAAGGATTGTAAATGGAAAAGAAAAGAAGACATGAGGACCCAGTCGGACACTTCACTGATCAGAAACTGGGGTCATGAAGAAGGTCCAGGACAACAGAAGACTGACAAGGAGAAATCAAAAGTAAAAGAGGAACGCTAGCAGAGAGTGATTTCCTAGGAGTCACGTGAAGAAGCAGTTACTCCTCTCCTTCCTGAAGCACTGTGTCCACTGTTGTTGGAAGACCAAGAAACAAGGGGAACGGGAATTTTGGATGACATGGAGACAGACAGGCGCCATTTGCTAAGGATTACATGGCTGTCTTAGAGAATCCATTGCCTTATGGATTCATCAGCTCAGGATTATATCCTCTTACAGTTAGAATATAAAAAGACATCCGTTCAACCCAGACTACAGGATCCCTTGCCACTGTTGGTGCAGTTTTTGCTTAACTCCTGGTGGCAGTTAACCCTCAACTATTTAAAACACACCTGTTTTGGTGAGGCCTAATGGCTCCTCGTGTTGACTATGTGTGCGTGCATTTTAATTCCTACCCATCATTCAAAGTTCTGCTTTTGTGGGTCACACAATGGAAAACACTGCTGCCAGGCATTTTATAGGATCCATTCTACCCCATAAGGACTCATGAATCCGGTCAAAAGACAAGATGAATGGGGAGACCTACTGTCACTCTTTTTCTAGCTCCAATTGCTTGCAAGTAGTATCCTCGTATTAGGGAGGGAAGGTGACCTTTCTTGGCATGAGCTTTTAAGCCCGCCAGCAGAAATGCAGACAGGCATAGATCCTCTTCATCCAGGAGGCCAGGGGATACAGCACTGAGCCTGAGCTACTCGGGATTCCCATTGGGTTAATTAGCTTTGCAGTGCTCTGCATTGCTACACAGCAGTTCTCAAACCAGTGGCCCTGGGAGAAGGCAGACAAGCTAGGGAGGCTGGATGGAGGATATTTCATCTCCTTACTGGGAAGCTGAGATGCTACTTGGCCTCCTTATCCTGAGACAAGCAAAGAACAGTCTATATGGAGAGCACATCTGAATAGCAAATGGACACCACATTTTTTTTCTTGGGGTTCTCTGCTTTGGGGGACAAAAATCAATATTCAATTTCAACCTCAGCTTTTGAAAAAATGTGAAACTGAAATTGTTTCTGTAACGAGAAGGGAGGTCTTAGGTCTAGTATATGAAGCATAATAATGAGACTGGCGTTTTAGTGATTCATCCAGTAGCTGCTTGCTAAATATTTGCTGAATTGAAAGACAAACATCCAGTCAACAGTGACTACACAGATGACTCAGCCTAATTCTCTGACCTGAAGTGACATGGAACAAACACCATGCAATTTAGAGATCAAAGGTTTGACAGAGGGAGAGCAGGAAGAGGGAGCAGACCCTGGCAATGCCAGGCTGTGCGCTCCCGGCTCCCTGTGAGAATAGCGGTCCACGTTGAACCTGAACACGGAGACCACCAGGGCGGTATTGCAAGAGCACGTATTTCTGTTCACTCACAGAAGGGATGAGAAAGTCGAATGAGCCAGGCAAACTCTCAGAGCCTGTGAGATCTGGTTATTTATACAGGTCAAAGTTGGCTGACCCCTGAGCCAGGCCCTCCTATCCCTTGGGAGAACAGAGCACGGCTGCAGGAATTGCATAAAAGGGCGCTGACTCAGAACTGGGAAAGTGGGATGGCCACCCAGGAGCAGCGTCATCCTCGGGAGCCCGTGGCAGGGGAAGCGCAGCCACGGCACTGGGTGGGGACCCCTGGAGCCGATACCATCGTCACTGTCCGCAGATGACTATCAAATCAACAAGGACAGCGCATGAGGCAAGATCCACAAGTATTTTGAGCAATGGCAATGCCATCCTTCAGCCTCTCAAAGTCAAAAACTTCAACGACCACATTTTTATTCAATCCATCCTTTTGTAACAACTTGTGGCTTAATAATTCTTTATAAAAATATCTCTGAATTATAGATTATGGAATTGGCACTTTGAGAGACTGATTTGCTTGACTGTAATAAAACTAATAAATAGTAGAGCCAGAATTCAGCTCAACAAACACAGCATGTCACATGCTGGTGCTTACTGTGTGACAGTCACGGTGGTAAGAGTTGGGAAACTAGAAAAGAATAAATTAAAAAACACAGTCCTGAGGATTTCACCCACTGGTGGAAAACTGATAATGCCATTCTAAGTCCTCAACACTCAGACATATACAACCCTCTGGGAACACAAAGAGGGGTACCCAATCCAGAGGGTGGGAGGTATCATGGAAAACTTCCTGGAGGTGGTGATGCCTGAACTGAGTCAGAGAGGCCGGCCACGTGAAAACAGGAAGCTCATAGGACCACACAAGGGAGACAGCTGGTGATGTAAAGCAGGCTGGGCACGTGTGTGGGATTACAGTTAATGCTGGTATTCGCACAATGCCAATATCATCTGAGTAAGCCAATATTACAATTGCTCCATGCAGGGTGAACTGGGGCTGAGGAAGTGGAAGAGAACCAGAACAAATGTCCAGGAAGTAAGTATATTTTCAGTTTCTCCAAGGGATTATAACACACAGACAGGGCTGAGGAGTCCTGATATAGGCCTCCCTGGGTTATGATTTTCAGGTTAATGTGCAAAGCCGTCACCTAGGGAGCTCATTAATTATAAATTGCATACATACCTCCCACAGAACGCCTGCTTCATCAGGTCTGGCATCAAGTTTAGGAACAGACATTTCCCACAGATGGCAGAGGACACTGCTGTGGGCAGAGGACGCAGGCAACCCACTTCCTAAATACACAATGATAGCTTCCGAAGCAGGACGTCTAATCACATCTTTCTGGAGGTCAAGACTATGTACTCAACCCTCTACTAGGGAGCGGCTCTTAGACGCCCCTCACATGTCTCCAAGGCAGCTATCCTCTCTGCTCAGCCAACCTCTTTATCTGACATGTCAACATCCAACATTGCCCAGGTCACTTCTCACAGCCAAGTGCTCTCCACTGCCTTCTCATGACACTCCAGCAAAAGCCTTGAAACTGGCCTAGCAGGCCTACCATGATTCGGCCACTCTCTGCTGCCTGGGTAATTGATTTCTTTCCATTCCTTTGACTTAACCTGTTGTCCACCTCCAGACCTTGAATGTGCTTCTGCTTCCACCACCAGACTTTTCTACTGTCCCCCTATCCATTGTTTAATTTCAGGAAGTGTCACACTTCCTCCGGGAAGTCTGCCCAGGCTCCATTGTATTACTATCCTTCTGCTTAAGATCAGGGTAGTCATTGTTATTTGCCCAGCGACTGTACCGTCCTCCTGACTAAACTGTGGACTCCATTTGGGCAGGTTCCCTGTCTCAGTACCGCCCCCATGGTGCCGACCACAAGGTGTCCATGGAGAGCAAGGGAAGAGGATTTGGAGAGATGAAAGGCTCTTATGACCAGGGCAGGAGTGTGTGTTGAGGAAAATACAAAAGTCAGGTCAAGATAGATACGCACGAAGCTCGCCATAGTGGTGTAAACCATATTTTAAAAATCCACCTATAACAATATACATGACTGAAAAGAAGGTTAACTATCAGGTTCATAACAAATATCCTTATCATCTAGAATACTAGTATCCATCCAGGTTTACTCAGGGGAAACCATAAATGACTATCAAGCAAGACGATTTTGTTTACTACCCAGTTTTAGGAGCATATACAACAATTAAAAGTGATGAAGGAGAAAAGGTCAAGGAAATCACCAGACAATGGAGCTAATAACACCAAAGCAGGTGGCTCTTAAGTGCTTTCCAGGGAGCCTCTTCAGGATGCAAATGAGTCTCAAGAAAACTCCCCACTAATTTGTTTCAAACCCCAGGTCCTTGCATATCTGTCTACCACTGCCTCCTGAAAATAATAACTTCTGTTTCTTTTTTGCATTCCAAATTGTACACGAGTGACCCTCTTGTTGATGTGCTTTGACCCTGTACCATGTGGAGGAGACTTGTGTTGTGCACTGGAAGAGTGGTTGCTGACTTGCCTGCTGTGAAACACAAGGAGTGGCCATAAAGTTGAATGATAAACAATTCTGCCAATAGAACACAGCCCTCAGGTAAGCATCCAGAACTTTTTGAGGCATCTTGGAGTGGTAGGAAAGCTCATCAGGTGAGACTAAGAAGACCCAGATTGGATTGGAGTCCTCATTCTGCAGTTTACTTGCCTGTGGCAATTTTGTGTTTTGTCATCTGTAGTGAAAGGAAAATGGTATCATCTCCCATTGTCATATAAGAGTCAGTATTTGAAATGTTTTCTTAATTGTAAAGGGCAATATGCCAGCTATACCTACTGTAGTTCAACAATGTTGCTCATCCTCTGGAGCCACCAAAAAAAAAAATAATCTGAGGTTCTAATACCAACGTAAAGGGAATTAAGGAGCCAAGCTCCAAAGGTATTGTTACAAGAACCTATACTTACAGTGAATCTTCTATCCCTACCACGTAGGTTGATTATCATGGCAAATATTGGCACCAGAAGGCTGAGTGTGGATGGGGAAGGGTATTGGAGACTGACTGAAAATCAATAAATGCTTAAGACCTACTGAGAAGATGGGGGAACTATAGCTGCATGAAATTGGAATTGTTCAATCCCAAATTGTTTGTGGCTAAGGATTATAGAAATAAAATTGTTTGTGAACAAGATTGTATTTCGATGGCTTGTTGTTCACTGAATTCATAAAGAAAACTAGGCTTTTCAAACATCACTTCACCCCCTCTCATCCCATCGCACTGGAAAGGGGCCTCCCTGTTGCCCATTTTCAAAGAACTGCAAAGATCACGACAGAACATCAGCCGCCCCACCTTCCACATGAAATGCTGAAAGGAATATCACCTACTTACCTCATTCACCGGGGTGGAACGGGGTGCCTTCTGCTCTCTCCTCAGAAGCAGCACAGCAGACCTTCCTGCCAGGAGATAGGGGACTAAGTCCTGACCATGCAACTGTTAAAACACAAAATTCAACGGCATACATTGAAAACCTTACTCAACAATTCACGACTTAGGCAGCGCACCACCTAGCAGCTAGCAAGGAGCTCTGAAGCGCTAAACAAAATGAAAGGTGCTTATAGGCCGAAAGGGGGCAAGATAAGGAAAGAGTGAATTGTTTCAGGCGAGGTCACTTCTAGTGGACAGAAGGGGTCTATCAGGCAGATGACCTCACTAGCGCTGACCAGGAAATTCCAGAAGACTGGGTTTAAGATTCCATTCCCGGGAGAGGCTGTAACTGCAATTAGGCTGGGTCCTAAGTCCCAGGTTGGTGACATGGGGCTTAGCACAGGTGACTTCTTGTGGGCTTTAACACAACAAAGTCTTTTCTCCTCTTAGAAGCACTGTTGACACTTGCATGGGGAGCTTTACATTACCTCACTAGCCCAACAATACTGGGCAGATTTAAAAGCTAAGACAAAAAATTTCACACACCAAGCTTTTCCAAAGCAGTACGTGTCCTCTCCCCCACCTCCCTGAGACGACTACCAAGTGGAATTGTTCCTGGGTGTTGGCGACCAGGTCACATGATTACTTGGCGGTGACGGGCGATCAGAACAGGGTCGCTCGGAGGTGAAACCACCTGGGGAATCTTGTGAAAAGGCAGAGTCTCACGCAGAACCTGGACGGGGGCTGAGACTCTGCATTTGTAACAAACTCCAAGGTGGTGCATCCTCTGGACACACGTGGCTCCCGGGGCAAGGAAGGGACCCGAAAGTACGCATCCAGGGGGTGTTAAGAGGTACGATTTGAATCCACGTCCATTCATTTCAGAATTACTCTTTCTATAACACGCAGCTCTAGGAAGAGGGCACTTTCATAGCCGAAATAATTATTCATGATGTACCTTGGGTACATCAGCCACACCAAAAACTCCAGGGACTCAGCTACTACCTTCAGTGTAAAATACCAAATGCATATTCCCCATAGGAATAGCTATCTCTGCCTTGAGCTTCAGATTCACTGAATTTCAGAGTCACACCACAAGCAGAACAGTCTGCACGGCATTCAGCTTCTGCCCTTGAAAACTCCCTCAGAGGAACCTGTAATGTGAGGTTCAGGTCTCAAGCGGACTGATCGCCCCCTCTCTCCCGGTGCAGAGCCTTTACCTAGGACTCAAGCCAACTGCATAGAAAGACAATCTGATGTTTCTGATGTTACTGCGGGGAGGAACCCACGTTACACGCAGACAAGTGAGTTGGCAGGAAGGGGGCAGGATGTGAACAGCTCAGGTGCGCTCGAGAGACCAGCAAGAACGGCTACCTGAGGGGTCCGAAGCATCTCTTGTGGCAGCATCTGACAGGAAGTGGAGTGCTGCTTCTGCAGGCAGATGCCAAATCTGGGGAAGGCTTCAGAACCCCCATGGGCATAGAGTCCAAAGCATCTCAGCTTGGCTTATTTTAGCTCTTATATTTATACCACTTCAGAAGTATGTGATAAAGGGCCACCTGTTAGTTTAATTAGGGCTTGTCCTCTGCACAGTGAGGCATTTATCTTTTCTCGTTTTCCCCATGTCCGTTTATCAGTGACAGGTGGCTATTTCATTGATAACTGAAGTCACTCCATCTCAACGGCCTCCACCTCTCCATCAGTCGGGATCATTGCAGTATCAATACAGATAACGGAGCCTCAATTCCAGCACCCACATCAGCCCCCCAGTAGGACCTGCCCCCACGTGTCTGCTTCTCTGACAGCTCAGTCACCTGCCTCTCCCCAGAAACTTTATCTCTTCTTCATCAACATCCTTCCAGAAGGTCAACAGGAAAAAAAAAAAAAAAGGACAAAGCAAAATTCATGCAAAACTACTTTTCTGATGCCTGAAAGTTACTACTTTTGAGAGACAACAGAACAGGCACATTATTCTACCCTAACACCAGTGCCCTTATTTCAGTTCTATTTCATTGTGTTGATGCCTCTTCAAATGCCAGAAAGACCAGCGGAATAGAGGGGCATTGTTCCAAACAGGGGAGCGGCTAGAACTCAAAGCAAGAGCTTCCCATGGACTCATTGGCTGGGCTCTCCTTTCTGTAGGAAATTATCTGCATTTCTCATTCCCCCACAAGAATGTATTTGAAAGTAAAATATATTCCTCCTGCTGCCTCGGGTTCTAGAGACTCTAGCAATACAGATTTCTGTCATAGGGAGTTTTGATTTAAAGAGATTTCCCACCATAGCCTTGGGCAAATCACTTAGCCTCTAATGGGTAAGCCATCACAGCCTTGAAAGGATGCCCATTAAAGGCTCAATGAACTGTGAGTAGAACCATTTTAGAAACAAATGTGAAATTTCAAATCAACTTTCCACATTCATTAGCTGGGCATTTAAATACATTTTGTGGTAGCCTTCTTCCAACCCAAAGTGGGTAGGTGGGTGGAAGTGAAGAACTCTCAGGCTTAAAGGGTCAGTGAGGTCACCTCTCTATTAGTAACTCACAGCCCAGGGAGCTGAGACCAAGCAGCAGATGTCCCAGCTTGGGGAGGCAGGGGCCAGGGTGGGGGTATGAGGACAGCCGGGATTCTGCTTCAGTCACCTACTGACTCTCTGACTTGGGAGTCCTGTGCTGGAGCTGGATGCCATCGGCTTATGATAACCTATTAAATTTTTCCATTTTTTGAACTGGCTCAAGAAAAATAACTTGAAGTGGACCATATTGAGAATACTTACATCGCAGAAACTATCACCACAAATTACAGTTTTTCAAAATCACTCGTTTTGGAGTTGCTATTTATAAACATGGCACTAACTAGGTGAAAATTGTCTTTGTCTTTCTAAGCTCCATTTCCCTCACCTGTAAAAGGGGATTGATAACAGGGCTGCCATTTTCAAGGCCTTATTTTAAAAATCAATTTTTATTTTAAAAACCAATCTTCTAACTAGTTTAAAAAGGTCTATCATCTTGGGGCCTCCCGGTGGCCTACGGGCTAAGTCTTGGCACTATCACCATTGCAGCCGGAGTTTGATCACCAGCCAGGGAGCTACCCACATGGCGCAGCAGACCTCTCCTGTCTCCCTGCTGCTCCCCTCAGCAGTGTATTTCAGTGGATCTGCCTGTTCTGCTCCCCATTCTGTCTCTGGTGAATCCTCTCACCCCCATACCTCTGGCCTGTACCCCAGTTCTTGTATGCATAAATAAAAAGAAATCTTTTAAAAAAGTCTACCATCTAATTTTGATAACTATGGTTCCATAATTATCATTAAAAAATGCATAAAGCCATAAATTTTGCATCACTGACAGTTGTCAAAATATCAAAGACAAGATACCATTTCACACGCATGCATGTTTTTTTGACTGGCTGGCAATGTTTGCATATGTAATAAAAGATATTATTAGATTACTTATTGAATGAAGCTTTTCTCACCTTTATTTTAGCACAATATTTACTTCTGCTACTATAATCCAGATTTTTATATAATTTGTACTCATTGAAAACAATGATATAAAGGATTAAAAATTGTTCTCAGCATATACATTTGAAAATGTCTTTCTAACACTATGAATTAGATTATAAAAAGAAAAAATTGAAAGCATACCTATAAAAGTTACTTAAAATATTCAAAATTATCTATTAAAATATAAATGATCAGTAATGAATATAAAATTGTAAAATCAAAGTTACGGAAATAAAGCTTACACTTTGGAGGGAAATTTTAATAAATCATATTTAAATTTAACTAGCTATTAGATTTATCAAACTACAACTCTAGTTTGATATCCTTATCTTTGCTCATGTCAGGACTTGATATTATACTATATAAAAAAGAAAATTATGACAGCACAAGTCACTTAGTGTTGAAAAATATTCTCTAGTAGCTATGTGTAACTATTAATACCATGCTAACATGTTTTTCTAGAACCATGATCTTAGGGGGGGAAATCATGATATTACTGGGGAAAAAATATGGAAGATTCAATTGCTTTCATGCTAAGAAAGATGACAAACTAATCGATCTCTTCTGTTACCTAAGTCCTCCTACCACTCACATGCTCCCTGTCCTCTGAAACAGACTCCCTTTGTATCCCTCTGAAGTGAACAATGGATCAACTGCATTTACTCACAGTTTCTTTCTGTTTGGGGGCATAGGGCAGCAGATAGGAGGCTTGAATAGTGTTAGTCAAAAGAATGGAGACTTAGCACTAAAGGAAGATACTGTGCCAGCATTGAGCACAAGATTTTAAATGACAGAGGTGACCATGTTTTTTTTCTGAAATAAATTTCTGGGTATATGTGAGTCTAATGGGTATATGCAATTTCTGGGTATATGTGATTCTATGTGATTCTTCAGGCCCCTTTAAATCATGGGGTTTAGTAAAGGAACCTCTTTTCTTTAGGTTTAATTGCATGGAATTTACTGTATGGGAAATGATGGAAACTAATCAAGAATTAGGCAAATTCAAGTGCCCATGTGGTCATTAGAGCTGTGCCTAGTCAGGGGTACGAGACTAGAGGAGGGTTACAAAGACAGCAGTTGCCCCAGACACTAAGATCAGACATTTCTTCTATGGGATTCTCAGTCAATACACATGTTCACTTCATGTAGCTAACAGTTGCCTTTTCCATTCCAAATTTACAGTTGCTCTACGTGTGGTCAGTACATCTAGTGAATAAACATGTTTCAGGTGTTCAGGCAGTTACAAATATGCTCTGTCTTGAATACCCTGGGTGTGGCATCTCTACCAATAGGCACTTGAGAACAGAAACATGCAGCATCAGCCCAAGGTAACAGCATTTATAAAACTGTGGTCCTTCCTGTGTTCAGTCATAAAAGCATTTGGCTGAATGGCTGAAGTGTGGATGAGAGCAAGGCAGGCATGATCCAAGTGAAGTGTGAGCTTACGTTCCTGTTACCATCCGTTGCTAAGCTGGTTTTCGCCCTTAACACCAACCTGATGAGACAGGAGTGCCCGAACAAAGGAGCTACCCAGCTAATTAAGCCCTTCAGGCTCCCAGGGGGAA